ACTACTACTACTACTACTACTACTACTACTACTACTACCACCACCACCACCACCACTACTACTACTACTACTACTACTACTACTACTACTACTACTACTACTACTACTACTGCTACTACTACTACTACTGCTACTACTACTACTACTACTACTACTACTACTACCACCACCACCACCACCACCACCACCACCACCACCACCACTACTACTACTACTACTACTACTACTACTACTACTACTACTACTACTACTACTACTACTACTACTACTAGGATTAGCAGTAGTTGTAATGATATAAGGAGGAGGCGGTAAAAGGACGAAAAGAAGAAAGAGAAAGAACAAAAATCGATGGTAATGGTAGTGGACAAGGTAGTGGTAATAATGGAGTAGGTGGCAAAAAATTGGGAGAAAGATGGAAGGTGTGTGAAAGAGAAGGCGATGACGATGATCAGGCTGAGAAAGCTACTCACATGCCTCCTCCATGCTGTGCTATCTTCCACAGGGCAGTGAAGATCATCATCTCCATTTGGGTCGTCTCCCTCCTGGTGGCCTTGCCCTACTCCATCCACACCCGCATCTACAACGCTGTCATCATCCAGAAGAGCCAGCTGGCCGTTCCCGACTCCCTCATTTGCAGCATCCCGTCCAGCGACCTCAACGGTTTCATGTACTACATGTTCCAGGTGTCCACATTCCTGTTCTTCGTGGGGCCGGTGACGATCATAAGCATCTTGTATATTCTCATCGGTATAGCCCTGCGTCGGTCACCTCTGGGTCGCTGCTCGCCAGATAATAAGGGCAGTGGCATGAAGAATGGGCCGTCGTCGTCTTCGTCGTCGTCGTCGCCGCATCATCACAAACAGCAACAACAACCACGTCGGGTGGTGATACGTATGCTTGGTAAGTGCTGTTTAGTTCGATTTGTTGCTGTCTTGTTTTTTTTACCCTTGTTTTAACGTTAAGAATCTGTGTCTTTTTTAAATCACCATTCATCACTGACATTTCCCTATGGCTCCCAGGGTCCCATTGTAGGGAACACAAAAATAATACACACTCTGCCCCCTAACAAGCATGTCGTAGGAGTCAACTTATCAGGTGTTTTCTTCGAAGAATGTATCTGCTTGAGAGTTCCCAAACAGCATATACACAAATAATCCAGATATCTATAAAATAGATGAGTACACAAAATTCAGATTCTGAAACAAGACAACGTCCAGAAATAGATAAACAACCAGAAATTTCTGTTGGAGTTTACAGCCGGTGACCGTGCAGAGGGAGAAGATCAGTGACATCATGAAGCATAAGACCAATGGCAGATAACACAGACAAAAATTAGGCATACACAAATGCTGCCTGAGAGTAGACCTGAGGCAGAAACATAACACGATCCAGAGATAATCTACAAGCAGTCACCAACTGCTGGAAAGAGAAGCCAATCACAGCGAGGCAAGGAGGCGGTTGATAGCTGCAGCAATGAACCTAGAGGGCTGGAAATGGTAAAGACGACGGGGGAGGGGGGAGGGAAGAGGAAGAAATAGGTTCATAAATTGTGTCTTAAACAAAACTAATTCAGACCTCATGGCCTGGGGATTAGGGGGGGGGGGGGAGGATATGAATGGATGCACTGAAAAATTCCTACCTCTGTGGATTCGAAATCGGGTCCCCTAAATTGCAACAGTGGTTCTAACTATTCGGCCAGCCTGCATGGTTCATTAAGTGACTACCAAACCATTTTGTAACACAGGGAAACATAATAACAAATATGCGGGTTAAGAAGCGATGGGCACTTCACTGTGAAGACATATGGTGTGAGCAATCGAGAACGTCTAAGATAAACCTTCAGATAAAATAAAAAATTAACGTTGTTAAGAGAGACCAAAGGTGCTGGACTGGATTTGATTCATTCAGTTGAAAAGATGGTACAGGACATCACAGAATGCAAACCTTATGTAACTTCTTCTTCTTCTTAAAGTTTCTCCGTTGTAAACTCCTGTGAAAACTTCTGATTGCTCGTCCATCTATGCACTTTGATCATGTTCCAGAACTTTCGTTTTTTTTTTAAAAGTCTGATTTATTTGTAAGCAGAATGTTGCTCCTTGCATCTTAGGCAGATGCGCACCCACTTCGAAAGAAACACTCGTAATTAGTCGCCTTGTATGACATGCTTGTTGGGGAGCTGTGAATTTATTCTCCCCCCCCCCAGCCCCCATCCTAACATAGAGCTCCAGAGTCCACACGGAGAGTCGTATATAACGTATAACAAAGCTCTGCTGCAGCAGTACACGAGCACTGTAAACATTAATTGCACACTTGCGTTAGGTTTCATTTCGTGTGCATGTTCATCAAGCCAGAATCTCCAGAGGAGAAAGAAAAGAAGGTAAGAATAGAAGCTAAGCATGTCTCAGATGGAGATCTACAGTCCATACCACTAATGGATTAGCCTGCGAACTGTGTGCATTTTGATGTCAAATTAGTATGTATAAACACATAAAAGTCATCAACTTCCACGACACTACACTCAATTATGAGTTATCATCATCATCAGTTCTCTTTATGCGTAGTTGCACGTGAGGCTTCAAATAGGACTTTCCATGCTTTCCTGTCCTGTGCAATCTTCAGTGCAGTTTTCCATATCAGAGATGCCGCACTCACTTCACTTTTCATCGTTTGTCTCAATGTTGTTTTTTGGGCGCTCCTTCTTTCTCTTTTCCTCTGGTGTGCACGTGAGAGCTGTTTTGCAGGTACATCAAAATTAATTCTCATATTGTGGCCAACCATTTCCATCTTTTCTTGGTTATCATGCTTTCTAGAGTTTCTTTATTTTTTGTGACTTTAACTAGTTTAGTGTTTGAGACTGTATCTGGCCAGAAAATTGTGATAATTCTACGTGTGTGGTGGACGGTGGATAGCTCGTATGTATCCTTTTTGGTCATTCTCTAGCATTTTGCTCCTTTAAAAAGAACTGTAAAATGATGCTCTTGTAGATTCGGCCAAATATTGTTAAGAGGTTGTAGTTTCTAATTATTTGTTTATAATTATCCTTAATGCTTTGGTTATATATCACAGTATTATCTTTGATCTATTATCATGCAGATAATATCTTAGCTGAGTGTGGAGCCAACATACATTTTATTTGATCTAGACAATTCAATCTTCTTACACTGTTTGCTAGTGACTTTGATCATATGACTGGCGTGTAATTTTTGGTTGCGATCCTCATAATTGTTTTAACATATCTGAATTAAATTTTGTCTTTGAGATTTGTATCATGACTGCAAATTTCCTCTCTTCCTGACTTTTTTCTTCCGGATTGCTAAATTCAAATTTTGACCACTCTGAGATTACAGAATCTCAATTTGGATGAAAAGTCAACAGGGCAAGTCCTAAAAATCCCGTTCAAACTCCAAAGAAACTATAACTAAGGCATACGGAATGCCTACAGCAGTCTAGTGTTACCTGCGGTCCTGCGCGGGTAGGAATGTTTTTTTTTTTTTTTTTGCGAAATTAAGCTAGGCTCTCTTTACAGAACTTCGCCCAAATATGGGACGTATTTAAACAAAAACAACAACAAAAAATATTTTAAAGCCCTACCCTGGCTGTCGTCAGGGACGCTAATATAACCTAACGGTTGAACGGGGTTTCTGGGACTTAAGCCAGGGATATTCTCATCCGAATTGTGGCACTTTGAGTCACCGGGTGTTTATCTCTCGTGGTGCGGTCCTGGGGGAAAAAGGGTGGAGGGGGAGCGATGATGAGCTAGGGTGTAAACACAAATACATTTATCCATAGAGCTTTCTTATTTCCCCATGTTCCATATGTGTTCTATAAGTGTTCCAAGCACATTCCTTGTATTGCAGTAAAACCTTGTTAAGCCGAACTCACGTAAGACGAAAACTCGGTTTACATAAACATAATTTTGGCCCCAGCAATGAAGTATTAAAATTATTATGTATATATACGTCCCCAGTTAGTGCGAATTTTTTTAACGCGAACTGATTTTCTGTCATTTTGGAATTCGTACGTTGCTTTACTGTATTTCAACGATGAACTCAACGGTTCCCACACTATTGCATTGTCTGTCTGCAGTTGCAGTCACTGTGGCCTTCATCGCCTGTTGGGCTCCTTTCCACGCCCAGCGGCTGATGGTTCTCTACGTCGTCCACTGGACGCCCCAGCTCCACATCATTCAGTCGCACATATTTTACATCTCAGGTGAGAATTACTTTTCATAAATGTGCAAGTTACTAACAGACAGGTGAAAATGACTCCTCACACAGGTACATACCACTAATACACGGCTGATAATTGCCTCTCACTCAGGTACAAAAAACACTCACAGGCAGGTAGGTGAAAATTACTTCTCACACAGGTACAGACTACTAATACACGGCTGATAATTGCCTCTCACTCAGGTACAAAAAACTCACAGGCAGGTAGGTGAAAATTACTTCTCACACAGGTACAGACTACTAATACACGGCTGATAATTGCCTCTCACTCAGGTACAAACCACCCATAGATAGGCAGGTGAAAATTACTTCTCACACAAGCATAAACCACTTGTAGATTTGTTACAAAAGTAAACTGTTTTGCATCAACGAGAAATCGGTCATACAGAGCTAGACCTACACAATTGTGACTCGGAATTCAAACGAAGTAAACCACTTATAGATTTGTCACTGAAGTAAACTGTTTTGCATCAACGAGGAGTCGCCCATTTACAGCTAGACATATACGCAGTGGTGTCTCGGAATTCAGACGCTTCGAAATTCCAACAACTTGGAATCCGAACGAAAGTGTGCAGCATATGTTGCTTTGGAATTTGATCCTCACCCATGGAACCGAATGCCTGGTACGTACCAGCCACTCGTTATGACACAACGCTGCCTATCCCTAAGCACGACCGGATCCAGCTGGGGCCCGGCAGTGGCTTAGGTTTGTTTCGCACGCTGATGTGTCGCGTTTGAGCTATCGCCTGAAACGTTGTTTATGAATTTGTATTTATTCCGTCTTAAATCGTTTCTGTTTCTATAAAACCACTCAGTGAATTAGGGTAGTGTTGAAAAACAACGTAGGAGAAAAGTGGTTTCGTGTATGTGAACTTTGAGATTGTTTGACCCTGAGCAGATTATTTTTAATTTCAGTTATTTTCAATGGGAAAACTTGCAGTAGAACTCGAACGATTTATAAATCGGTAGCCCTCTTTGAACGGTTATGTTCGAATTCCGAGGTGCCACTGTATTTGTGTAGACCAATCGACACTTGAAATGGATGTACACGCAAAACTCAGGCCCTGGCAGAAAGCCAAAGTCTGAATGGACAAACAAGCAGGACTTTCCGCCGGAGCTTATAGCCGGTGTACAAAGAAGAAGAAGAAGAAGAAGAAGAAGAAGAAGAAGAAGAAAAAAATTAGTAGAAGAGGAAAAAGAAGGAGAAGTAGAACGAACGAACGAACGAACGAACGAACAAACTTTATTTTCAAAGAAGAAGTTAAAAGAAGAAGAAGAAGAAGACGCAGACCCGTCTGAAGATTCGAAGCCCTTCTAAGTACTCACTTTCAGAGAACTAGAAGAAGATCTGTTATCAATAATGCATGTTATGGATTTTAAAAGAAATATTATAGATGCAAGAAGGGACAAGACATCGTGTGTACGCCATCAGGAGACACACTCACACACACGTATACATACATCTACATTTTCATACAAGAAGAAGAAGAAGAAGAAAGAACTCATATACAGACATAAGAAGCGATACATACACACCTGCATGTACATAAGAACATAAACAAGCATACACATAGTACAGAAGATAAATGCACAAACAAAACAAGACACAAGACGAAGAAGACGTACACGTAGACAAGTAGAAGAAGAAGTAGTAGTAGTAGTAGTAGAAGAAGAAGAAGAAGAAGAAGAAGAAGAAGAAGAAGAAGAAGAAAGAAGAAGAAGAAAGGAAGAAGAAGAAGAGAGAAGAAGAAGAAGAAGAAGAAGAAGAAGAAGAAGAAGAAGAAGAAGAAGAAGAAGAAGAAGAAGAAGAAGAAAAATAACAACACGACAGCGACGACAGCAACAATAAGAAGAAGAATCGTGAGAATATTGTGGACAGAATGAATGTGAAATTGTATTATCAGTTCTTTTTCTTTTTTCTTTACAGCGGGGGAAAAAAAAAGGGGGGGGGGGGGGGTAGAGTTAAAGTCTAGAGGATTTAATTTGTTTTGCTGGGGTTTGTCCCCATTTGGCATGGTTCCCCTCCGCAGATCAGCTAGCTGCCAGTCGAGAGCGTCGCACAAACCATGAACTCCGCTGCTCCAACGACGATCCCTAGAAATCATAATGACAGTTGCACTCCTGAAGAGAACGGAGCAGCTGTAAACGAGCTTTGGTTTATAAAACGACAACTGTCAGCAAACCCTTAATTAAGCATTTTTTTTAAAAATTTGAAATAATCTTCCTTGAGGGGCATTGGATTAGTGGATCTTCTCTCTCTCTCTCTCTCTCTCTCTCTCTCTCTCTCTCTCTCTCTCTCTCTCTCTCTCTCTCTCTCTCTCGCTCGCTCTCTTTCTTTCTCTCACTCACTCTCTCTCACGCTCTTTCTGTCCGTCTCTCTCCGCCCTCCTTCCATCCTCCATCCAAAAGGAGAGTATTAGCAGTAAATCTGGCAATTAGAGAAAGTAAATATGACATTGTTTACAATGTTTTTTCAGGTGTTCTATATTTTGTCAGTTCTACCGTGAACCCCATTTTGTACAATGTGATATCAAAGAGATACAGGGCGGCGTTCAGACAGGTAAGTTGTGCTTACTTTATACGTAGGCTATTGTCGCAGCCAATCTGTGATTCTTGCAGTTAACCACACCCCTCCCCCCACCCTCGCCCCCCCCCCCCCCCAGGGATTTACAAACGAGTTGCTTCTCAACAACAACAACAACAAAGAAGGGAAAAAAGGGACGCCTTTTCCGCCTTTCGTCGCTAAAGGACAAATGGTGCTAGATCTATACTGTATAGACCAATCGGCACTCGATGGATGATGTGGTCAATATCACGCCGGCCGCTTTACTTCCCATGACTTTACCTATTACCTCTTGAAGGCTGGGACAGCTTGGGAGCCAAAGCCATTTTTGAAAAAAAAAAAAAAAAAAAAATCTGGTTCCGTTCAGATTCGAAACTATGACCTTTGAATCCTTAGGCAAGCGTCTAGCCGCTACACCATGGCTGCTCCCTTTGTTAAGAGAGGATTCCACCACACCCAAGCATCTGGCCATTAGGCCAATCATCAGTCCTCGATTTCTAACTAGCAGGGCAAATCCGAGATAATTCTTTTAACTTTCGAATAAGTAACAGTTCGAGTACATTGACGCCTACATCAGCTACAGTAGATGCTTTCGGGTGAGGGGTGGGTGCATTATTAGAGCTGGAGCATTACATATGCGAAGAGTATCAGGACAGGAACCTAGGCGTTAAGACAGGAACCTAGGCGTTAAGAAAGGAACCTAAACGTTAAATCAGGAACCTGGGCTTTAAAACAGGAACCTAGGCGTTAAATCAGAAACCTAGGCGTTAAATCAGAAACCTAGGCGTTAAAACAGGAACCTTGCATTAAGACAGGAACCTAGGCATTAAGACAGGAACCTAGGCGTTAAGACAGGAACCTAGGCGTTAAGACAGGAAATAAGGCGTTAAGACAGGAACCTAGGCGTTAAGACAGGAACCTAGGCGTTAACACAGGAACCTAGGCGTTAAAACAGGAACCTAGGCGTTAAGACAGGAACCTAGGCGGTAAGACAGGAACCTAGGCGTTAAGACAGGAACCTAGGCGTTAAGACACACTGAATTGTATTGCTAAGACCCCCCACCCTCTTCCAATAATTTTTAGAAAACCTGCGAATGGATAAAGGGATCCCTCTAACCATGCACCGACGTTCGCTTTTTTAAGTATTTGTTTCTATATTTCGTATTATTTCAGACATATTATAATAACTTGCTAGTCAGTATTTACTATTTCCATCATTATCATTATCATTATCATCACCACCATCATCATCATCATCGCTACCATTATTAGTGTTATCACAGTCCACCTAACAAAGCTGAAACATTTCAAACCTCGCCCCCCCCCCCCTCCCCCATAAATTAGAAGTATATTTGCTGTCAAGGTAGGAGTCCTGTTCTCGGTGGCCACACGCCTAGCCAAGAGTTCTTCTAGTACATGACCAAATTACGACACTGCACAGCCCTTAGAGACAGGAAATCTTAATGGCACAGCGCCAAGACCCACGCCTGCCGGCCCAAAGGTCTTGGGCTCCAATCCCCCATAGGATCGTGATTTTTTTTTCTCCATAAAACTGACACTGGCGTCCAGGTCCACTCAGTATAAAATGGGTAAGAGGTAATGTCCCGGGTTGTAAAGGTGGCCGGTGTAATGTTGACAATGTTGAGGACACCACTTTCCAAGTGTTCAATTGTCTATACCAGTGGTTCTCAACCTTCTTAACGCGTGACCCTTTAATACAGTTCTCTTATGTTGTGGCAACCCACACACAATTATTTTTCTTCATAACTTAATGAATATGTGTTTTCTGATAGTCTTAGGCGACCCTTGCGAAAGGGTCGTTTGACCATAAAAAGGGTCACGACAAGCAGATTGAGAACCGCTAGTCTTTACAGTTATGAGCCTAGCCTTATATGCCCAATGCGCCATTAGCTTTGAAAGGGTCTTTTTTGAAATGGAAAGGCTGTTTCATTAGATCCAGGCTAGTCATATTTACTTTACGAGCATTGTCCGAGTTACAACAGTGACAGCGAATGTACAAACAAGACAAGCTCCTTCCACATTTCGTACCCCCACCTTTTTTTTTCCTCCCATGACTTACAAATGGGACAGAGTGGTCTCGGGACATGGCGTCCGGCTTTAGTGCTAGAGGTCCCGAGTGCAGCCCCGGGAAAGGATTGGACTTTTTTACATGGACTTCTAGTAATTTCCCCTGATCTGCGGGTGGTAAGATCGGCCGCCGGTGTGTACTGTTGCGAACCTAAAAAGAAATCCCTAGGCAGAAATCGAAAAGAGTAGCCTAACGGCGCTGCCCGGGAAAAATTTGGAGTTAACAATCTGCGCAAAGTTTTGCAGGATCCTCGCTGGTGTTACGAAGTTCGTGCACTACGCCGAGATTCTTTGTACTCAGACTTGAGTTAGAAGTATAATGGATCATTGATGGGTTACTACCCTTGTGCCATGATGTTGATTCGTTGTTTAAACATTAAACCTTGGGACAGAGAATATACAAAATAGACCATCTTTGTCCATTTTTTTTCACCGCCCACTGGCTTACATCTGGGGCAGAGAATGTACAAAGAAACATGCCATAAAAGAAAAGTAAAGGACCCTTTTCCACGCCTTAAGGCGTAGAGGGAATATAGGGCATATAGGGCTAGACCTACATTTTTAAAGACCAATTGGCACAAGATGGGTGATGTAGTCAGCATCACGCCGGCCGCCTTTACTTCCCGGGACTGCACCCGGTACCTACTCAAGGTTGGGTCGACCTGGGAAACAAGCCATACTCCCTTTACATGTTCATGCGGGTTACAAACAGAAAAAACAGAAAAGAATGCAAATACACGCTTTCTCTGCATCCTAGTCTAAGGTGAAAGGACCAAATTTACCCCATTGGACGAGCGAACACATTTTACTAGGCACAGCAGACAGTGGTACAAGAGTCGCACTGTGGAAAAGAATCAGGCATCAACGTGTATTATTCCCAGTGTCCGCAGTCGATATATCGTAGCCAACCTCCAGTGTGGAGACGGCACAATTTGTTTTTGTTGTTATAGGCTAATAGACCGCCTATGGGTGCTATGGTCAATATAATGTTTGCCGCCTTTACTTCTCATAGCATTTCCCAGTACAAATGTTAGGCTGGGTAGAACAGGAAGCCCAAAGGTCAAATATAAAAGTTCTTCTTGATACAGAAGTAAACTGTGGAGGTTCGTGTCGGTAGACATGGATCTAGTCACTGCGACACATCCACAGCCCATATTCTATTTACAGAATGGGACAGGGGAAACGGAACCTGGGGGTTTGTGTACACCGAGGGGTCCCCCTCCACCAATATTCTAATTACAATTGTGGTTTAAAAGTGAACACTATGTTCAACCTGCTGCGAGCAGCTTTGATTACAACTGTGGTCAAGTTTCTCTGTGCCAGATTTAATGGCTTTAATAGTGTGCGTGTGTTTGTTTGCCATTATAAATGGCTGTTTCTACTAGTGCGTTTGAACTTGCCCCAATGTGGGACATAGTTTGTTATTTGTTCACGCTTTAGGCGTATTAGGCATTAATAGCTAGACATATATTTCATAGACCAATCGGTCGGCGATATAGTTAACAACACACCTGTCGCCTTTACTTTTCGGGACTTTACCTCGTACCCATTTAAGGCTCGTCGACCTCGGAGCCAAGGTCATTTTCAGGGAAAAAAGGTCCATCAGGACTGGAACCCACGACCTTGAGATCGCAGGCGAGTATCTAGCCACTACATCACGCCAGTAGCTCTACATTAATAATAACATTTCCACATACAATTCATAATAGGGCGTGTCTACCCCATGCTTTTTTTTTTTTTTGTATCGACGCCACTAGAAGAAGATTTGGTTTACTTGACGATATGTATATATACAGCAAAGGCTACGAGGTCATAATGACTCGATGACCCCCCCCCCCCCCCCCACACACACACACACACACACTTTTTGCCACCACGGCAAAAGTGATAAATACAGACAGTAGGTTTCATGGCATGGCCGATTAATGACGAATTCGTTATCATCAGGTTTTTTGCCGACTGGCGTGGGCGATCATGCCTCTCCACAATCTGCGATTTCCTGCAGCATGCATTAGTTCCTGTGCTGACACGCCTTCATGCCATGCAACAAGACTGGCAAGAATCTTCTCTCATCGTCTTCCTCTGTCCCTTCTTCCACAGATTTTTCCAGTGATCACAACATGTTCCATTTTCCCTCTTCTTATAGCATGGCCGAAAAATGATGATTGTCTCTTTCTGATGTCTGTGATAAGTTGTCTTCGGGCTCCTGCCTCTTTCAACATCTCTTGGTTGCTTCTTTTGGCTGTCCAATGTATTTTAAAAATTCTTCTGTAAAACCGCCTCTCTGAAGCTTCAAGAGATTGTTTTGGGCTGCCTACCCATTGTCCAGGACTCACAACCATATTTTAAAACTGGATGTATGTAGCAAGCAAGAATTCTTTTTCTAACCCTCAATTGACATAAGATGTTCTTCATTTTGTAAAATGCAGTTTTTGCCTGTCCTATTCTGTTTCTTATCTCAGTAATGTAATTTCCATCTGATGTTATCCATGTTTCCAGATACTTAAATTTCTCTACTTGTTCCAGAATAACACCATTTACTTTTTATTACACATTTAGGACTAATTCTGTTCTGTGATACCACTATTACTTCTGTCTTCTCAAAATTGAAAATGAGGTCCATTCTTCCACTTTCTACTAGGGCTGTACAGAATAGTGATTTTCACTATTCGGCCGAATACGAATAGCTGGACCAACTATTCGGCAGAATACGAATACGAATAGTGAATCATCATCATCAGGAGCTTTGCCGACTGGCATGGTTGATTATACCTCGCCAAAATCTGCGATCTCATGCAGCATGTATTAGTTCATGTGCTGACACACCTCCATGCCATGCAACAAGACTGTCAAGAATCTTCTCTCGTTGTCTTCCTCTATCCCTCCGCCACATATTTTTCCAGTGGTCACCACATGTTCCATTTTCCCTCATCTTATAACATGACCTAAAAATAATGACTGCCTCCTTCTGATGTCTGTGAGTAGTTGTCTTTGGGCTCCCGCCTCTTTCAAAACCTCTTGGTTGCTTTTTTTGGCTGTCCAAGGTATGTTAGGCATTGTTCTGCAAAACCACATCTCTGAGGCCTCAAGAAATTGTTTGGCAATGCCTACCGATTGTCCAGGACTTACAGCCATTTGTTAAAACTGGATGTATGTAGCAGGCAGGAATTCTTTTTCTAACCTTCAATGAAAAAGATATATTGTATAAGATGTTCTTTTTTTTATAAAATGCAGCTTGTGTCTGTCCTATTCTGTTTCTCATTTCAGTAATGGATCTTCCATCTGATTTAATCCATGTGCACAGGTACTTACATTTCTGTACTTGTCCCAAAATAAAACCATTGACTTTTATTACACATTTAGGAATAATTATTTTCTTTGAAACCAACATTACTTCTGTCTTCCCACTATTCAAACTGAAGCCCATTCTTCCACTTTCGTAATAGATCTAAAAAAAAAAAAAAAAAAACACACACATCCATAATGTTAAATGTACGCTAAAATTTTACTTCAGAAAATGTAGTACAGAATAGTAAACATTTAAAAACATTTCATGTTTGGCATTCTTCAGTCAGTCAGTCTGTGGTAACTAATACCTAGGAATGAAAGTATTCTTAGTTTTATAACAAGTAACTAAACTTGTGAATTGTCACTGACAGCTTAGTTAATCCATGAAAGCGGCATAGGCTTTAAAAAAAAAAAATCGTTTTATGTTGTTAGCATGAAGGCAGCTTCTTGTCTCACTGAAGGTATTTCCAGCTGTACTAAACAGACGTTCACTTGGTACGCTCCTAGGTGGTGCACAAAGATAACTCTTGACAGAATGAACCAAGGTGGGAAATCTTGATATGTTTATTTTCCACCAGTCCAGAAACGGGTGTAAGGTAACCCCTATTCGTATTCGGCCCGACCGCAACTATTCGGCCAAATACCGAAAAGTTATAAGGTCCACTATTCGGCCCTGAAGCGAATACGAAGCGAATATTCGGTTCAGCTCTACTTTCTACCACCACAATGTCTATCATTTCCTGTAGTTCTTTCTGACTTGTTGCTATCAAGACTGTGTCATCAGCATTACGTAAATTGTTTATAGTGTGCCCACCAACCACAATTACAGGCATATCAATTAAAGATCTCATTATATATTCCCAATGACGAATTACTGTCTGTATTTGCAGACTATATTTCCCTGCTGCCACACCAGGATGGCCCGCGGCAGCACGAGCACCGCTAGACCCTCGGATCACTTCTCCAGGACTCAAGCCTTGGTGGTGCTAAAGAATAGCAGCGACAGCATGAGGTTTGTGTTCAGGTAAACTCCGTTCAGATAGGTCTTTTCTGCTTCGATTGTCCTTTAATGACAAGATGTGAGTGACGTGCATTATGACCAGGGTCTGTACCGATTGACTTGGGCAATTTCTTGTTCATTGATAAACATTCTCCATGTGTCTACTTCAAATACATGTCATGTCATACAGAAGACCGCACGTTTAAGATCTTCACTGGTTTCCTATAGTTTGTCATGTAAGCAGTAACTATAGTTTGTCATATAAGCAGTATGGTGTGGACACATCTGATGATTTATATGAGAGTGTGTTGTCATTCTTTCAGTTGTGATTATATCTTTTTTGTCTGCTATTTCGGAAGCGGCGATAGCACAGTCGATAGGATACTCGCTTTCAAATGCAGCTGCGACTGCTGCAGCCAACGACAGGTATTCGAAACCGGGCAGTTCCCGGGGTTCACCCAGCTTCTAGGTAATGGGTACCAGAGTTAACACTGGAGGGTAAATGGAGGAACGTCGCTGTAGCTACGGAGTTGCGTGTGGACGGCGACACAGGCGGATGGTTTCTTATCAGCTGTCCGTACTGGCAGCAGAGCACTTATGGTTTATAACCTTGTGCAGTGACGCTGGCTCACATCTCTCGACTTTACTTTTATCTGTTATTCTCTGCCTCTCGTCTCGTAGTCACGTGGTCACGGTTTGTTCTTCTTTTTATTCCTCCCATATTCTTTACAGTGAATGTTGACTATCGATTTCTGATGTTTGATCTTCGTGTCTTTTTTTAAATAAATTGTTTGTTGTTGTTGTTGATATAACTGAAGAGCAAACAAAGATTTTGTTTTATAGAGAATTAGAGGAACACCATGGAAAAACACGTAATAATCTAAAAATCTTGACAGAAATGAACCCCCCCACCCCCTCCCCCCCCCACACACACACACAAAACACAACAACACACATTTACTGGCATCAGGAGGGACATTCCACAGTGAGAAAGAAAAATCTTGATTACATCTTTACAATAGAAGACTAGAGAACAAAGGAGGCAGTGGAAGACTGCGAGAGACATAAAGAGGCAGTGGCAGGCAGAGGGAGAATGAGAAAGAAGCTTTCACGCAGTCTGGCTTCATGCATTGAAGAACACGTATATCAGACATGACCAAAAATACAGGAGACAGAAGGCTGGGGATATAATCGGTTACCAACACCAAACGGCACACGACATGAAAGAAGAAAGAAACAAAATTAGCTAATGGCTCTACCAGACTTGTGTTTAACGATATTTTGGACATATTGTTGTATTTTCTGTATCTACAAAAACAGCACAAATAGCTCATTTTAAAAAGATGTTTGTTTTCTCTATGTAAAATACCGGCATGTTGGACACTTTCTCCAGGAAGCACGCCAACGATGACGCCCTCAGGGACTACGAGACGATACCTCTCAACAGCACTAGAAGAAGCACGATGATGGACGATGACGACATCGTCAGCATCCACCCGGCCACAGCCAGCTCGGCCAGTTCCTGCGGCAGCGTCCATCTCATGGTCAAATCCTCGACGATCAGGAACAGTTACAGCGCTGAGTACCTGCACAAGGAGGCATCCAGTTCCGTCCCCTGCTTCCAGGGGTCGCCATGTTACTTTGACAACACCACTAGCGCGGACAGAGAACATTTTTGCTACGTACTTCACAATAAAATGGCAGCCGAGGTGATAAATAAAGCGCAGAAACCGCGGAATTGCTATGCTTGTGATATTAATGGGCACGTTTCCATGAAAACAGAACCTGCAGTGGGCGTTTATGACTCAACAAAGAGCTCTATAGTTCGGTAATAAACATAAATATTTATTAAATATAAAAAAGAATTGTCGCTGTGTCATCAATACTATTAAAAATCTTTATCAGTGTTCAGTTTCTTCAATAAATATCTATTCCTTCTGTATGCGACCACTAACAGACCTAGTCACACACACACACACAAAAAAACCACGAAAGAGAAGTTGACAAAGGCTGCATGAGCGGCTTAAACATATAAAATAAGATGTGAATTCATAAGAAAAAGAGCAGACATGGAGCACTGCTGAAATACCTACAGACATTTAAAAAAAAAGAAAGGAAACTGCATAGGTGGTCTACTACACCTAGGATACCTGGACACTTACTGAACAAGCTGAACAGCGCATAAATGCCTCTGAAAACAAATGTTATAGACGAGTTCTAAGAATATCATGGGTAAAGAAAAGAACGAATGCACCCATACTTCAAAAACTGAATGTTGAAGAAGGTTGGCTATTAAAGAGGACAAAACACAGAAAATTAAAATATTCTGGTGACTTGAAACGTCACAAAAGTTTAGAGAGAACAGTAATGGAGGGGTATATGCCTGGAGTCGGCTCTGTGGCTAAGTCGATGCGAACACTTCCTAATGCCGGGTTCGATCCCAGCTACAGGACATGCGCCTCGCATTTGTTTCAAAAGTGTTATCAAGAAAGCCGACCATCCAGAGCAATGGCAAGCTACTGGACGTAAATTTACCTAAAAAACTACACTAATGCCAGGGGCTGTTGGGGTTGGGACTGCAAAGTCCTGAAAGGATACGCAACTAAACATATGTCTGGAAAGAGAGGAAGAGAAAGGCCAGAGAGAAGATAAGTGCAGGATGTGGTAGATGATCCCTAGATGGGCGCATCGGACGCGGGGTATCTTGCTTGTGATCGAGAATAGTAGTAGTACATTTTACCCCACTAGAACATCACATAAGCGATAAACACCCGATGACACAAAGTGCTATAATGCGGATAAGGATCACCCCTGGAAAGGTCCCGGAAACTGCGTTCAGTCATTAGACCGTATTTATGGCCGGACTGTGTTGGGCCCCTGGCAAGAGCTAGGGTGGGACTTCAATGCAAAAGAAAAATTGCATCCCACAATGAGATGACTAGTTTATTGGCATAAACTATTATGTGTTATCAGTGTGTGATACTTCCCGTCCTCTTTAGGATGACATTTTTTTTTTATTTGAAGCCCTACTCTGGCTCTTGCCAGGGGCCGCAATATAGCCTAGCCATAAATATGTCCTAAAGGCTGAACGCGGTTTCTGGGACCTCTCCACGGTGACCCTCACCCACATGGTAGCACATTGTGTCATCGGGTGTTTATCGCTTGTGTGATGTCCTGGTGGGGTAGAAAGTCAGTCAGTCAGTGTGTGATCGATAATTTTTTGATCGAGAAGTTTTCCGGAGGGTTCTTATGGGAGCAAGATTCTGCAAGGGACATGATACTTACAAAAAGCCCATATTTTTTCAGACCATCGGCACTAGGTAGGTAATGTGGTCAGCATTACGCCGGCCGTCTCTACTTCCCCAGGACAGATGCTGCTTACTGACTGACTACAATTAGAATGTAGTCCAGAGAAGTGAGCAACAGAGTCTTGTATTTAGCATAATAGCCAACTGTACACGAAGTTTTACAGAGGAAAAGGAAGAAGTGGGAAAGGGACGGGGGGGGGGGGGGGGGGGGGGGGTGAAAATACTAAAGCATCGAAGGCCTCATATATAAAGGGAAGTAGCAATGAATGTTATCAAACATGGCAAAAGTTAATGTACTTACTTCCCCTCTGATAATCAGGTGATGAACGATTCTTCTCTTCTTCTCTTCCACCTTTTACCTCATCAAAGTGTCGGGTGGAGATGTAATGTTCGTTGGTGAGCTCTGTCAAAAGCGCTATTTATATTGATGTACACTGGGCATTGTACGGGGCTTTGGCTTAGACGTTATCGGGTGTTTATCGCTTGTGTGATGTCCTGGTGGGGTAAAAAGTCAGTCAGTCAGTCAAAGTGACTACATGGACCCATACCATTCCACAGACCACCAGCTGGCAACCACTGCCTTAGAGGTCAGGGAATGGCAGAGCTGGTGTACAAGTATAAGAGGAAAACCAAGAGACTTTTATCCAGATGGCTTAACCAAGTGGTGATATTTCAGCAACACACGCATACACAAAGCGCGACAAACAGCCAGACAGACAGACGGACGGATAGATAGACAGCTTTCTAGACAGACATATAGATTAGATAGATAGATTAGATTGATTGATTGATTAAAAACATAGATATGGAGATAGATAGATAAACAGACAGACAGACAGCCTTTCAAATAGATAGATAGATAGATAGATAGATAGATAGATAGATAGATAGATAGATAGATAGATAGATAGATAGATAGATAGATAGATAGATAGATAGATAGATAGATAGATAGATAGATAGATAGATAGATAGATAGATAGATAGATAGATAGATAGATAGATAGATAGATAGATAGATAGATAGATAGATAGATAGATAGATAGATAGATAGATAGATAGATAGATAGATAGATAGATAGATAGATAGATAGATAGATAGATAGATAGATAGATAGATAGATAGATAGATAGATAGATAGATAGATAGATAGATAGATAGATAGATAGATAGATAGATAGATAGATAGATAGATAGATAGATAGATAGATAGATAGATAGATAGATAGATAGATAGATAGATAGATAGATAGATAGATAGATAGATAGATAGATAGATAGATAGATAGATAGATAGATAGATAGATAGATAGATAGATAGATAGATAGATAGATAGATAGATAGATAGATAGATAGATAGATAGATAGATAGATAGATAGATAGATAGATAGATAGATAGATAGATAGATAGATAGATAGATAGATAGATAGATAGATAGATAGATAGATAGATAGATAGATAGATAGATAGATAGATAGATAGATAGATAGATAGATAGATAGATAGATAGATAGATAGATAGATAGATAGATAGATAGATAGATAGATAGATAGATAGATAGATAGATAGATAGATAGATAGATAGATAGATAGATAGATAGATAGATAGATAGATAGATAGATAGATAGATAGATAGATAGACAGCTTTCTAGACAGACATATAGATTAGATAGATTAGACTGATTGATTGATTAAATGGATAGATAGATAGATGTACAGACAGACAGCCTTTCAAATAGATAGATAGATAGATAGATAGATAGATAGATATATAGATAGATAGATAGATAGATAGATAGATAGATAGATAGATAGATAGATAGATAGATAGATAGATATAGATAGATAGAACTTTATTTTCAAAGGGTCACAAATTGGACACGCAGGCCCGTCTTACATTCGACCCTTCCAGTCAACCATCTTTCGCACAGCAGTTGTATTTTACTAATAAAGCATGTTATGATCATATGATGATATTTATATTATGAAAATAAAAAAGATCACAAAAGCATTAGTTGTAAAGTGCATGCAAAAACCCGCGCGTGCATACACACACCCATATACATACATACATACACTCTCATACGCACACACACTCACCCACTCACTTACACACACACATACATACATACATACATACATACATACATACATACATACATACATACATACATACATACATACATACATACATACATACATACATACATACATACATACATACATACATACATACATACATACATACATACATACATACATACATGCATGCATGCATGCATACATACATACATACATACATGCATACATACATACATAATACTGGCATACACACATACAAACATACATATATATATATATATATATATATATATATATATATATATATATATATATATATATATATATATATATATACATACAAACATACAGTCATAAATACAGTCATGCATGGAGACATACACATACACACACAGACACTCCCACAGAGACACACACACTCACTTAGACGAAAATACAGACACACACAGACACTTACATATAAACACACACAGGGAAAAGCACAGCACACATATATACATGCGTGCTCACACACTGACACACATACACACACACATACACAGACAAACATGCAGACACATACATACAGCCACATAGACACACACGCAGTCAAACACACACACAAATACAGACAAACAGGCAGACAAACACATAATGGCACCCACACAGACAAACACGCAGAGATGCATACACAGACAAACACATAGAAATACACACGCAAACACATATAATCAGCACGCACAGACATATACTCTGACATGCAGACACATACACACAACAAAGGGGCACACACAATACACACAGAGAAACTCACATAGACATGCACACACAGACAGACACATGCTGACACATGCACTCACGCAGACAGACATACAGACACCCACACACAGAGATACACACATACAGCCTCATAGACACACCCGCAGACAAATACACAGGCAAACATGCAGACAAACACATACAGGGACACACACAGACACACACTAAGATATACCCACAGTCACATCAAATATGCAGACAAACACCGAGACACACACACACACACATTCAGACAAACACAGAGACATACACACAGACACATATACACAGTCACATATACACAGCCACATGTATCCAATCGCACACACACACACACGCAGACACACATACACAACAAAGAGGCACACTTAAACACACAAAAACACACAGGCCAATTCATACTGAAACATACACGTAGACATACGCGCGAACACACACACATTCGCACACATACACAAGGACACAGTCGCATACATTCACAGGCACACACGCAGCTACACAAGCAGACAAACAACATACTCAGAATCATATGTATACAAACATGCCTACACATACATACATATCACACACACGCGCGCGCAAACATACATATCATACACACCTTGTTTAATAATAAATTGATAATGCAATATGGGTTACATTACATTCAGGGTGGCAT